TCCCACACAGGCTGCCATGGGGAGGCATCATTAAGTATGTGGATCCTCTGGGGCTCAAACCCAGGACTCTGTGTATAAGGCAGATGTATGAGGTGAACTGTATATGTATGTGTATATATTTATATATACAGTATATGTATATATATATACATGTATGCTGCTACCATTTATAATGGAAGGACCTTATATATCGGACAGAGGTTTGTCCTCGTCCCTTGTCATCGAGACACTGTCCGCTCAGTCTACTTTCATTGATGCAGCGCAAGCGTCACTGTCACACACACCATCTGTTACCACCAACACTCCTGGCTTGTACAAACACTGTTATGAGTAGGTAATGGTGCAGACAAAAACTTGTGACCTTGACTTTGCCTCCTACGTGTGATCAACAGAAAAAATATGGAGAGAGAGAGAGTGAGAGAGAGAGAGAGAGAGAAGGAGACAGAGGGTAAGCGAGAGAGAGATTGATGAGAGTCTGGAGCCCTTTTGATTTTGGTTGGTGTGCAGCGGGCTGCAGAATCCCACGTTGCCTGGAAACATGTCTGCCTCAAGTCAGAGTCCTTCTGTGGTTCCTCTTATCATATTCAGCTTCAAAGACCAACTTCAAAGCATCTAACTCTAATGTAATTTATTTTTTCTTAAGTTTATCCCAGAAATAAAACACATTCGGTGTCTGCCGTTTTGTCTACATCACAGGTGTCTGAAGACGATTACACAGGTATACCAGTATTAGAGTAGTTAGTTATTAGTAGTAGAGTATCGCGGCTAACTTTAGCAACATGTTTTGAATTAACGTGATTGATATTATACCTTAATCTGGCTGAAATTATAAGAAATCTGTAGGACTATTTGATGGCATTATTTGGTCTTCAATTAATTGAAATATTAAATATTGTCATAAAGTCTCAGGCAGATACATTATGGGACATTCAGCGCACCAAAAAGTTTGTTTTCGCTGTGTGTACATCGTTAAGAAGTTGATTGACGTTAGGATGGATTTTTGTTTTTCTATTTTGCCCAGTGACTTTGTTTGGATTTATGTATAAAGCAGGGCTGTCAAACGATTAAAAATTTGCTGCAAACACGTCATTATTGATTCATGCCGTTTTAATGATACAGCAGTAAATCACTGGTGAGGAAAGCGGTGCAGTTTTATGTAGAAATGTAACTTTATATCGTAATGAATGAGATTCGGCTCATCCACAGTTTAAATTTATAGTATAAATGAATTAAAATGATACCAATATTAGGGTTTTCCCATCTTGTATAAATACATGAGCACAGGTACAGTATAATATTGTGTACTTGCTGATGCAGAGAGTACCATATTAATACATATTGAGGTTGGGTTATATTGGACAGTATATCGACACAATTTAGTTGAAAACACTGTTCCATGCTTTTCAGTAAACAAAGTGTCACTTAGTCACTGAGTAGCACTGTCCTCATGTTTCAATAAGCAAATTCAAACACGCAATGTTGGTAACTATGGCTGGACAAATGAGACTCGGCGAGGTGCGATCTACCCACTGTGCTGTTAGACAAAGGAAATCCAGTGGCAAATGTTTTATTAAATTGCTTGTAACGGCCAGTAATTACTGAAAGTCTCGCTCCTGTCTTTCTCCCTGGTGTGAAAATACCTCCAAACTGCTGACATTGTTGAACCTCCTTGAACTACTCATGTGAGCAATGAAACTGGAGGAAAACACATACGTTTACACTGGCTGAATGGGGGTCAGCTGGTCATGGCGAAAAGAGCATGGGGTTAATGGATGGGTACTTTCTATTCCAGTATGAGTATTTAATATAAGTAAATGAATTAAATTCGATAAAAGAAAAAAAAATGTAACTGTGTAAGTGGTGCTTTGGCCCAGAGGCAATGTCTCTGTCGTTGGTCTGGAACCCCAGGGTTCACCTCCTGGGCAAGATCGAATCCCGGTTAGGGATACCTTAGGGTTACCTTCCAGTGGACTCACCCCCCGCAGGAAGGTTCAGGGGTTGGTACGGTGCAGTGTGATTTGGGTGGTGGTCGTGGAGACTGCTGCCCCCATGGCCCAGTAATGGATAAGTGGACAAAAATGGATGGATGGATGGATGTAACTATATGACTAAAAATGCTTTTATCTGCAACCTTTCACAGTAGATACCGCCAGTCCTGGTTGGAGACTAATTTGATCCAAACACAAAACCTTTACAGGGCTGTCAAACTCCTGTTGGTTCAGAGGCCACATACAGCCTAATAAGATGTCAGGTGGGTCGTACTAGTACAATCATAACATAAATACTTATTAACAACAATAAGCCCATGTTTGTTCCCTTTTATCATGCAAAGACGTGTATCAGAAACCTTCATATTTAATGTAATATAATTGCAAATGAAGTGAACATCAAGTGGTAGTGCTCTTTTTTTACTTTCAAAATGTATCAAGCAGGCCTGATTGAAACTCCTGGTGGTGTCAGGTCTCTCTGTTTCCTGTTCCTGCTGTCTGCTGTGTGGGGTAATCAGTGTGATCACACTCACATATGTCTCTGTCATTAGTCTCACTGGTGTCGCCTGGTGTCCTGTGCATACGTAACTCTCTCCCTCACTCTATCCTTGTGGGATCATTGTTCGAGATCGTTTGTGCATGCACTGTGTGTTTGTTACTGTTAGTTTGTTGTTCGTGTCCTCGAGTTCAGAATGTCCACGAGTTTTGAGAAAGTCCATGATGTTGGCGAAGATGATGCCTGTAGGCGATGCTTCATTCCTGTGAGTTTTTGTTTTTTGTTTTCACTTTGAATAAACTTACCTGCGCCTGAGAAGAATCCCGCTAGTACTGCATTTAGGTTCTGCTTGCTTCCTGCCAAGTCGATGGCTAAATGTAACAAGTGCGCCGGTTTTGGCCCGCGGGCCATATGTTTGACACCCATGCTTTAGAACAAAGCATATTTTATCAGTGTTTGTATCAGTTTAAATCTTTTCCTTTCTCACCATTACCTTGACAGATTTTTAATCGTTAATATTTACCCTTAAATGTGAGCCGTCTCGAGGTTTTGTTAAATTAAAGTATTGCTTCAATAAAACTGATGAGGCGATGAGAGGAAAATAGTGTTACCACAACTGAGCCGTTGCCAGTGCGACAATTCAACAATCCAGGAAAACCACCCTTATCTAATAAATGAGTTCTATTCTGTTTAAATGATTGTCCACTCTACACCCTCATCATTCAGACTGAGTTTAGCCCCTTGTACACAATTATTATTCGATCCACTGCGTTGAACACTGTGCCAAAAATGGTCTAATTTACCCCTCTGGATCAATACAGCACCATCTCGTTCTCACAGCGAGGCGCTGCATTAATAATGCCATCGACAATATTTAGCGGTATTGACAAAAAAAGCGGGAAAAGTGCTTCAGGCGGTGGGCAGAAATGGAGTCATTTTTGTTTTTTTTACGGTGCTGCACCTTTCTGATAGCTTTTGCAAACAAAATACTATAATTTGGGCTGAGCAGTGAACTGGACGCCTTTGTTTATCTTTATCGACACGACCTGTATCAGTTTTCTGTTCTTTTCTTTGATAATGGTGTCTTTATGGAACATTACTTCTAAACACAGACATTATCCACAGACGTAAAGCACAGAGTTCATTTGGAAAACAAACGAAGATTTTTTTTTTTCCCCCCTTTTTAATTATCAAGTGATGTGAAGTGTTACAAAACCAAGGCATCGGCTTACGGCCTGAACGGTCTTAATGTTGAGTTGTTCTTTGTTCTGCTTTGTCTGAGTGGCATATCTTTTCTGGATAAAGGTCCAACTTTAGTGGAGCTTACAGTAAGATACTTAAATACGCTGAACGTTGTACAATATTTTAAAAATGTGTCGATGAACGAGCACTTTTATTGCTAACTTATTACATAATCTACAGAATAAACCTTGAATTCCATCAGCAAATTTTGTCCATTACTAACATGATTATAAGAAATGATTATTACAGACGGTTACTATATGAATGGAGTGGGTCAGAGGGAGCCATACTGTTTTTAGAGGTGATGTGTATATATATAGTTGTCCTGCAACTAAGTGGAAGGTCAGAATTGGAGGATGTTTATCTTTTGTTGTGAAAGTTAAAATCAGTCGTAATGAACCGTTTCAAATGAATATCAATAAGAAATGAGGTCTTTGTTACTTTTGTCTCCTTTTTTTATACAGAAAACAATAGATAAATGTCCATGAAAACACAACAACTGCAGCGTCTGCGCAATAGTCTTTCGGTGTTTTACCATGACGCTGTGTTACAGGAGTTATGTTCCATGCACAGTATATGCAGTTGTCTAAATGTATCGTCAGGTCGTGTACCGTGTGTTTTACTGTTTTAACTTCATTCTACTACTGGTTCTAATCGCTGTAACTCACAAAGCAGTAAAAAGGCACCGTGAGGGAAAGTGCTTGTGCAGCACCTGTGCGCTCTCTCTGTCCGTGTTCAATATCGACGATAAGTCAAATGAGAAAAAATAGCAGGAAGACATATTGACGTGGTTTACAGCCCGCGAAGACTCCAAAGACTTTCACCAGACCCATTCACATTTTCTTCTTTGATTTTTATATTAATTTTTTTAGCTTCTTTTAATCAGAGCAGTGGATGGGTTGGAGGGAGGAGGGGCTCCGGGCTCCGTGCTGTGCTGTGCGGATCCGTGCTGCACATCGGAGCTAAACTCACCTCACACTGACTCCCATCCGCGCCTTTCGTCACACAACTTGTCCCGCACCAGGATAAACGCGTGTCCTTCCCGGTGGTTCTACTCGGCCGAGTGTGAAGAGGGAGATGCGGTCGGACGGAGATGATAATAAGGAAGAAATGTTAGTTTAACCTTGGCGTGTGTGTTGTGGGCGTCGGTGATGTTTGCCGCCGGTGACTGCAGAAATTCCCGACGTGTCCACGAACCGAACGACTGCCTGTCGGCGCGCGCTTGGAGAGCAGCAGCGGAGTGAACAAGGATGCGCCTCACAGGATGTTTTTATATTTTTGCTAATGTAGTTATGTGACTGAACACAGTGAACCCCGCAAAGTAAATTCGGAGAAAACAGAATTCACTCTTATATTATTTTCGTTTTTTACGCTTGTGGACGAAATTTATGCGCCGACCGCTGTCGGGGCCAATATGCTAGAATGGCTCCTCTACACTATTTATTTCTCTGTGGACTTCTGTGCTCCCCAACCTACGGTAGGTCCGTTTACTATATGTGTACATTCCATGATGCTTCGTATGTAAATGTGCCTCATAGAGTCACCCTTTCCATTAAACGAGCTTTTCTGACGCTGTGACTTCACGCGTCTCATCCATGCCATTACAGACGAAGTGTCTCCAAAAGCTCAAGTTTCTTTCCCGCTCCTCAGACCCTAAAATTGTTATTTTCTTCCTCTCGAATATAGGTTTAAGATGGTAAAGATGTGCAACGTCATACATGGTTAATATACTCTGAAACAAAGGGAGGGTACTCCGTAAAACATTTAATGGCACAACAGGGGGGTGAGTTGTTCTTTTATTCATAAGGACTACTCTAATTGAGTACATTTGTTTCTTGAATTAAACCTTTGACAGCTTTTAAATTGCTGGTGGTTCCATATGAGTCTGGGGAGCAACACTCAGCCTCCCTCAAAGGAAATGTGACCCCGAGGACCTATTGTGTATCAACTTAACTCCAAAAAGTTAATATGTGATAAACATGCAACTGCAAGGGGATGGCGTAGGTTAGATTCTTTTTGTAATACTGTTTCTTTCTTTCTATGTGGCCTATGTGGTTTTACAGGCAAATGGTGCAGAACCTACCACTAAAACAGCAGGTGCTTCAGGACAATATGCTTACTCACATAGTCTGGAGATCCACCCTTGACTGTACGAGCCTAAAGGTTACTTATACAGTTAATGGATCTGCTGCGCATCTAACTGAACGTTATCGTTTGTCTCCCGAACTTCACAACAACATAAATCTGTGTCAGTGGAGTAACTGTCTAGCAGCAGGGCTCAGCCTAAGAAGGGAGTGCATTGGTTTGTATGGGTGGCTCCAGGACACTACAGTGAGCCTGTGCAGACTGTTTGTGTAGCAGTTTATCAGGGCTGTCCGAAGTAGTACAGTGAAATTGATTCGTGACTTTGGTCGAGGTGATTTCAGGGCTGTTTTCAGAGACCTTGGGGGTTTGGAAACTGAAGACTGTATTTGGAGTGCTGCTGTCAGCTGTTTTTCTTTGTTTGTCCTCCCGATACCAAGAATAAAATGACACTGATATCTGCTGTACAGGAGTACCTATTTCTAGGGTATAACTACATCGTGTCATTGTGTACTTCAGCTGTTGTTGTTTTAATATTTTAAAGACTAGAAGGAGGGCAGAAACTTGAAAATACGTTAATGTATTGTCTCATATTTGAATCTTTGAAGGAGCAACTTATTCCGGTGGTGACGTGCATATAGATTTCAGGACCATGGATAGTTCTTTTGTAAACCTGCAAGGACGTAGCGCGAATACTACCGGTTTATAAGGACAAAATACTTTGGTAGCTGAAATATTAACTATAAATGAGTTAATATTTCACCAGTCTTTCTGTTGTTCAGAGACACGGCTACTTTCACAGGGTTGTTAAACTGACTGGACCGTGAGGTTCTTCTGACGGCAAGAAGAACCACACACCCATTCTATCCCTTTTCTGTCCTAAATGCTCCACACAAGTATCATAACGTTGGGGTATTACAAGTGTTAATAACAAATATTCTTTTCCCATGTTGCAGCATTTTTGTCTTACTGGAGGGGAGACAAAAAGCCTGTATGTAGGAAGTTATCCTGAAAGATGTTGAAGTGACCCATGAGCTCTTTGCGTTAATAATAATAATTACTATCGATACTTTACGTGTAGTAAATATTTCATTGCGTTGTTTGTATGTTGAATTCTTTTTAAGGAAAACTGTGCAGTAAGTTTATTTATATTGTGATCGAGTTTTATATTGTGTGTGTAGTTGGGAAATTCTTTGTATTAAGGGAAAAAAAAAAACAGTGTAGTAAATATTTCATTGCGTTGGTTGTATGTTGAATTCCTTTTAAGGAAAACTGTGCAGTAGGTTTATTTATATTGTGATCGAGTAGATGTGTATATTAGGGAAATTCTTTCTATTAAGGGAAAAACAAAAAAAACAGAAACATAGGTGACTTTTGTGTGTGGTGTAATGTGATGTTGAAAACTCTAATAAGCCTGAATTACCTCTCTTGTCTCTGAGGAAAAAGTGAAGGTGCCTTAGTGTGTTAATATTGTCTGTCAGTTGAAACCTGACCCTAATCAGCTTTCCTATCGCCAGATGTAATTGAATACTATTGGCCGCTACCTTACTCACTGTTATCTTTTTTATTGCTGTTGGTCTCAGGGCCATCATAAATCTGTGTAGATTTACTACCTCTTTTATTTAAAAGAACAAACTGTACGGTACCGTTAATGGCGATGTAGTTTTACTTTCACTGAGACTTGACTGTTTCTCCTGGCTTTCTAATTCAAACTAACATTTATCTGACATCCATCAACGGAGGCAGACAACCAAACAGCATGTCCTCAGGTGTATACCTATCATTTGAAAACGGCTTTTAATATTTCTCTCCAGGATCCCGTGTTCGCCAGGAAGACTTCCCCCCTCACATTGTGGAGCACCCCTCCGACCTCATTGTGTCCAAAGGAGAACCGGCGACTCTTAACTGTAAGGCAGAAGGTCGTCCAACCCCCACGGTGGAATGGTACAAGGACGGGGAGCGAGTTGAGACGGACCGCGACAACTCTCGATCCCACCGCATGCTGCTGCCCAGTGGCTCCCTCTTCTTCCTACGCATAGTCCACGGGCGACGGAGCAAGCCTGACGACGGCAACTACGTCTGCGTTGCTCGAAACTATCTCGGGGAGGCCGTAAACAGGAATGCATCACTACAAGTGGCACGTGAGTCGAACTTTTCACTATAACTCTAAAAAAAATACTTAATGGCTAGTAGCTAAGCGGTTTTTTTTTCGCTCCATGGAAGACATTTCTTTATTCAGGTGGTCTAAATCGGGGTCGCCCTACACTATATGCACAACATACACTCTGCGTAGGGGCCCCATGTTTGCAATCAGAGCCTTATTTCCAGTGATACATGCATATTGCGTGATTGACTTAGCTCACCGCTGTGCAGATTTTAACGTGATATAGCTTACTATCGCCATCTACTGGGGAATCTTTTTCATATACATTGGTGGATGAGTGTAAACTGATTGAAAAATGTGTAGTTTTGCTTGTTTTGTCCATGGTAATAGTCGAGACATTTGTTATTTCATTATAGCTGTAAGCCAAACCCGTCGTTTAACATCCTCCGAACAGAGATCATGAACCAGGCGGTTCTAAATACGCACTTCAGGTCCGACATCTAGGTAGCGGAGCACTTAAACCAGTGAAAACCAATAAGTGATGTCTCTCCTTATGTGAAGCTCATTTGGCCTGACATTGATCACTGTCTGGAAGTCAATGCGGAGACTTACTGTCATCTGCCCTTTCCAAGTTACACTCCTAGCATTTAGAAGCAGCAAGTGGATGTGTGACATTCTACTTTCTCTAGGTGTCTCCACTTTGCGACATTAAATATAAATTAAACGCCTTTTAAGATGATACAAAATGACTTTGGCCCCGGCGTCTTGAGTATGACACGTGTGCCCTAGACAGTTTGCCAGTCCAATGCAGGACCACACGACCATTCACAACATTCACATTCTGATCAACCTACTTCTCTATTAAATATGTTTTTGGCTGTGTGAGGGAACCCATGAACACTTAGGGAACGTGCTGGTAATCAAACTTGCGCACCAGTGATCTTGCTGTAGAAGCATAAAGGCAAGCGTTCTGCCAACATTTCTATCCTTGTGGTCGTCTACTGTGTCACAAATACAAATTCAATTTCATACCATAAACTAGAAGTAGAATTTGATGCCGTCAGAGAGGCTCATAAACTAGAAGAGGATTGTGTAAGTAGAATTTGATGCCGTCAGAGAGGCCTGTGCAGTGTGGGCATAATGTTATTTAAACTTATTTTGATGGCATTCTTAAATAATGGATGGACAGGGCTATGAGTTGCTTAGGGGATGGAGAGAAAGTGACCTAAGTTACTCTTTTTTATTTTTTATTTACAGCCTAGCCAGTTATCTCAGGTCTGTGTTGGTGAGAGATGTGTAAGAGAGAGAGAGAGAGAGAGATGCTCTAGGCTATTCACATTTATATCATGTGCTGAAATGAGCTGTTATTTTGCCAGCTAAAAGATAAACACACCTAGACGTTCACAAATATACACTCATGTTAATGCACAACACCCACGGAGTCTCCGTTGCTGTTCGGTTGCTGATCTCAGATATGATGGATATGATGGTAAATTCAACAAAACCTTAGACAGACGGAGGATATATGACACTTTATACAGTGCATGGTGATCAGAAGGGCTTCCTAACATTTAAAATGATTAATCATGATTAATTGTGGGCATTGTTAAGAATGATTCATCATGAGTAATTGGGGTAAATCAACATTCCTACTAATGACAAAAAAAAAAAAACAGAACAAAAAGACAGGAGGTAGATGTATGTTTGTTTATATTTGTAATATATTTGTGATATATATGTGATATATTCAAAACTAAAGCTCAAAATTTTGCTTTACAGAGTTGGTGGATTTTGGTCTATGGAGCATCTCATCTCCAGTGCAAAAATAGCGTGAACTCAACAAGCTTTTTGTCACATTGTTAGTTCTCCGATGCAGTAGCTGCAGTGATCCTATAAAGTTAGTACATCTTTTTTTGTGACATGGATGATTTGTGGTGGAAGGGTGATTAGCATTCTTGCCCTACAGCAAGGAGAACACTGCTTTGAGTCCCAGCGGATACTGAGCTTTATGAGGCTTCCGTGTTCTTTCTTTGCCTGCACAGGTTGCCTTTTGAAGGACTCCAGTTTCCCCCAAAACATTAGGCTTGGTGACTAGCTTACAAAGTAGTTTGACCATAAGTAGAAATGTGAATTTTTTTCCTGTATCTATACTGTATTTGGGCTTTGGGCAGGCATCACCCATTGCTAGTTGGGATTGGTTCTAGCTTCCATCATAGACCTACCAAGGATCAGGTGGTAGAAGATGAGTAATTGTTTTGGCTACATGTTGTTCTTTTGTAGTGTATTGTTGTTGGTGAATACCCAAATTTTTTGATATATAGTTGAGGTATTGAGTTATTAAGAAATCGTTTTTCATGAATTCTGACAAAGGTAAAGTAGGATTTGAATATATATATAAGTGTTTTGAAAGAGCTTTGGAAACAATGCAGTCTCTGGCATTTTCATAAACACTAAAAAATGTAAAAGCCTTCCACCTAATAGCATCAAGGAAATGTCTTTTTGTGCACAACATCCTCTCCTCGTTTTATTGGCTTTTCCACTTTAGACGCTTAAAGTATAATTCACAAAAAAAAAAAAAAAATGTTGGTGAATTGCACTGGAAAAACTAATGTCCAGAGACGATACAGTCCAATACGAGGACATGGTTGTCTGTCTACATGGTGTGAGACAGTGTAGTAAATGTAGTACTTTCTTTGGTGTATGATAAAAAAACATCACAGTAAAGTATTTATATATATAATAGTGAAGCTGTTGTCACAGTATTTTATTTATTTTATTTTACATAACTTTACCATTTCTTCCCTTTTACACTAGCGTGGATAACTCACTCTTATATCAGTGCCATAAATTTAAAGATGCTTTACTTACAAATTTGGTCCCATAAAAATGACATTTAAGAAATAAAACACAGTACACTAAAATACAGTACACTTAAACTTATTTATATAATTACTGCTTAAAATTCCCATCCAAACTAGTGCTCCCTAGTAATGACCACATCTGTTGTTTTTGTACAAGGTGCAATTAATTACCACCATCTTGTAAACAAATTACTGGCTGAAAATTATATAAGAATCTTCCCAGATGAAATGAAAGCGACAAGGTCGCCTGATAGCACCGTAGTACAAGTATAAGATAGTTCTGCACAGACTCTCTCTCTCCTTCCTTCTCTCCCACCTCTTGCTCACCACCCCTCCTCTTTTTGTCTCTCTATCTCTTCCTCACCCCTGCTTTGGTCCTAGGCCCATAAGGATGCAGAGTAGGGATGGGGTTGCAGTAAAGTCACCAGAGACCATTAAAAGACCCTTATCATGATAATGTAAAAAGTGAAAGATTAAACTTTAATGCATTTACTTTTCTCATACATATTCATTTTAGGAAGATAGAGGATAGATGGAAGTACCGTTGAGAGGCTTTGATGGTTTGTTTCCGTATGAGTCCATGCACGTGTCCTCAAATTTCCAAATGGGACGTTGAATTGTGCTCGACCAGTGGTTTAGAAAATATAACTAATGAGAGGGATGCTGCTCTTTTGGGAATATTTGTGCTGTGTGAGTTGTAGTTTGGTGCTTCATTATGCATTTTATGTGTTGTTCAGTTAGACAGGACCGGAATCTGAAGGTGCGACGTTCATCCCTGGTGTGCTTAAAACAGTTCAGCTGTTTCAGGAGTTAGCAAAGCTTGAATTGCGTAAATTATGCAGATATGCCAGACGAACATGTGATGGGATGTAGACATAAAATGTGTTCATCTTTAAAGTTCAATATCGTTGGATATGGGGAATATTTCTTATTTAAGGTTCATGTTTTTTTAAGCTAAAGAGTGGACAGGGACAACACTCAAGTCCACATAGTACACAAAGTTTGAGGTAGTTTGAAATGAACGTAAACAAAAAATGAATAAGCACTGTCGCAGTGCTTCTCAAATAGTGGGGCGGACCCCCCGGGTGGCGCGGTAAGGTGCTGGCGTCAGGCGCTTCCAATGGATTATGGCATGCATATGGACCTAAGTGTACCACTGCTGTAATGCATGAATGATAACAAGCCTCCAGTCACTAGGTGGCAGCAACTCATACAGTGGTTTGTACAGATAAAAAATATACATGTTATTAGGTTCTCAATAGTATTTCAATTTGCTGGGGTGTGGGTCGGAGGGTACGGGGGGCGTGAAAACATTTCTGTCCCGGGGGGTGTGTGGGGGTGTGACAGAATAATTAAGAACCACTGCTGTACATGAAGATAATATAGGATTGACAGAGCAAGAATTCTAAAGATTATTAACAAAATAAATACAGTATACAGTAATAACAACATTAATAATCAAAGCAACTTAGAAAGTCTTACTGTGGAGTTCTCACTTCAATAACAACATTAATAATCAAAAAGTACAGAAAAATACATGAAAGAAATGTAAGGGGCAGAAGGGAGCAACTCAGAAAGTCTTACTGTGGAGTTCTCACTTTTCACAAAGCAGTGGTTTCAGTGGCTCACAAATCTTGATCTCGGAGACTTTTAAATGTCGAGCATTTGTTTAAAACATGCTTTGAGCAGTTAATGAGCAGTTGTTAGCACCTTCTATCAATCCACCTACATTTTATTCCTTTGCGATTCAATTAGCGCATTTATTAGTGCTTTCTCTGAAAGGGAAAAGACACTAAGCAAGACGATCGGGATCATAGGAAAAACATTAACCTCGTCACTAACTTTGACAAGCAATACAAAAATTAGCTTTGCGGTTTCCATTTTCCATCTGACTTTGTCATCAGATACAGGTACTTTTCGAACTTATTGTGGACTTAGCACTTAGAGACAAATCGAACCGCATTCTACAGGAAGAATGGTGCCAGTTATACATGACATGGATTGTGTGGTCTGCGAAGTGTTTTTCTCTCGTGGCCTCAAGCTCTCCTCGCTGTCCTCTGTTGAAAGCATAGACATCCAGTAGAAGGAGTCTGGGTGAAGTATAAAATCCAAGGTACAACTGAAGCGGCCCATTAGGAGGACATTAACGTTAGTGTATGACAGTGGCTGTCATTCT